GGTCCCTCTTTACTCAGGGGATCTAGGCAGGCTGGGGTCCCCACCGGGGGTTCTGGTATTAGCCCAAGTCAAACCCAGACTCTTGCATAAAAGGTTTCTTCAGGGGGTTTCCGTCATGTCCTTTGTTTCAGGGATCTCAAAGGCTCAGAAATATCAGGATTGATAGCAAAAATACATAGAAGGGAGGGATCCAAAGTCCTCCTAGAGAGGTGGGAAATCAGAGAAAAGGTCCACTGCTGATTGGTCTCTGGTTGCTCCAGCACCTTAGAGTCCTTTGCTGTGTTCAAGGCGCCATCTAGTGATAATGACGAGGAACTTCGGGGTTCAAAAAAGATTCCTCAACATTGGGATGCTGGAACAGACATTTTATTGCAGTGATGCTCATAAACCTAGTTGGTGATAGTTGTGGGATCCTTTCATTCCCATCGCACCCACAATTTTAGCTCCTAGCCCTTTGGTTGAGCAATTTTACTTCTCACCTGCATTTACAGACAGACTACACATTTTGCACATTACTCATTTATATTCATACCTGAGCCTGCTTTAGGCTTTTTCCACATTTTGCTTTGGGCCTTCTTGCTTCTTCAACATGCTGCCTTCTCCAGTCTAATAATACTTGGTAAAATCCCACCTCTTCCTCAAATACCTACTATTTTCTTTTAGATACCTCCTGGGCCCAGAATTTTCTAGAGGTTCCTGCTGCCTCTTGTGGCCACCAGGGCCCTTTGGCTTTAAAGCTCATGTCAACACTTGCTCGTTCTCTCCTGCCTATTGTTGCCTTGTTCTTGGTTTTTGGAGACAAGTCTCACTGTTTCACCCAGGCTAACTGCAGTGATGTGATACCGGCTCACTGCAACCTCAGTCTCCTGGGCTCAAGCAATCTCCTGCCTCAGCCTCCTGAGTAGGTGGGACTACAGACATCCACCATTATGCCCGGTTCATCTTTGTATTTTTTGTAGAGATGAGGTTTCACCATGTTGCCCAAGCTGGTCTTGAACTCTTGGGCTCAAGTGATCTGCCTGCCTTGGCCTCCCAAAGTGCTGGGATTACAGGCTTGAGCCACCTCGCCTGGCCTTTGTTGCCTTGTTAACAAGCTCCTGAGTAGCTGGGACTACAGGCATGAACCATCATGCCCAGCTGCTTTTTAAAAAAATTTTATTTAATTTTAATTTTTTTTTAAATTTAGATGGAGTTTCACCATGATGGCCAGGCTGGTTTTGAACTCCTGAACTCAGGTGATCCACCCACCTCAGCCTCCCAAAGTGCTAGGATTACAGGCATGAGCCACTGCGCCTGGCTATTTTTTTTTTTTTTTTTTTTGAGACGGAGTTTCGCTCTTGTTACCCAGGCTGGAGTGCAATGGCACAATCTTGCCTCACCACAACCTCTGCCTCCTGGGTTCAGGCAATTCTCCTGCCTCAACCTCCTAAGTAGCTGGGATTACAGGCACGTGCCACCATGCCCAGCTGATTTTTTTGTATTTTTTAGTAGACACGGAGTTTCACCATGTTGACCAGGATGGTCTCGATCTCTTGATCTCGTGATCTACCCGCCTCGGCCTCCCGAAGTGCTGGGATTACAGGCCTGAGCCAACGCGCCCGGCCCGCCTGGCTATTTTTAAATTTAAATTTTTTTTTGAGATGAAGTCTCACTCTGTCACCCATGGTGGAATGCAGTGGCACAATCTCTGTTCACCACCTTCCAGGTTCAAGTGATTCTCCTGCTTAGATCTCCCAAGTAGCTGGGATTACAGGTGTGCACCACCACACCTGGCTAATTTTTGTATTTTTAGTAGAGACGGGGTCTTGACATGTTGACCAGGCTGGTCTCAAACTCCTGACCTCAAGTGATGACCCACCTCAGCTTCCCAAAGTACTGGGATTAGAGGCATGAGCCACCGTACCTGGCCACCTTGTTAACCTTTCTAACCAGCATCAGCCTTGGGAATGGATTATGCTTGTGCCCTCTCTTTATTCAGCCCCATTTTACAGACATACCAAATATACTGAGACTCTAGTCTACAAGTGGTAAGCAAGCCTTTCTGTCTCAAATTCCTACATCTTTGCCACACTTTAAAAATATGTATATATTTTTGAGACATCTCTCCCTGTTGCCCAGGATGGAGAGCGGTGTTTGGAACACAGTTCATTGCAGCTTCAACCTCCTGGGCTGAGGCGATCCTCCTGCCTCAGCCTCTGAAGTAGCTGAGATAACAGGCATGCACCACCATGCTGGGCCAGCTTAAAAATTTTTTATATTTAGAGATGGGAGTCTCACTATGTTGCCCAGGCTAGTCTCAAACTCCTGGCCTCAGCAATCTTCCTACCTCAGCCTCCGAAAGTGCTGGAACTGTATCATGTTTTGCCAATTAAAATTTTTTTTCGTTGTTTTTTTTTTTTGATAATGGAGTCTTGCCTAGGCTGGAGTGCAATGGTGTGATCTTGGTTCACTGCAGCCTTCACCTCCTGGGTTTATAAGTGATTCTCCTGCCTCAGCCTCCTGAGTAGTTGGGACTACAGGACTACAGGCGCCTGCCACCATGCCCGGAAATTGTGTGTGTGTGTGGTTTTATTTTTATTTTTTTTAGAGATGGGGTTTTACCATGTTGGTCAGGCTGGTGTCGAACTCTCGACCTCAGGTGATCCACGCATCTCGGCCTTCCAAAATGCTGGGATTACAAGCATGAGCCACCACGCCGGGCCACTTTTTTGTATTTTTAAGTAGAGACAAGGTTTCCCAACATTGACCAGGACCTCAGGTGATCTGCCCACCTTGGCCTCCCCAAGTATTGATAGTGAAGGCATGAGCCACTGCACCCAGACGTTTTTTTAAATCTCAAAATCTTTCAAAATTTGGTTGGGCTCAGTGGCTCATGCTTATAATTGCAGCACTTTGGGAGGCTTATGCAGGGTGGGTTGCATGAGCTCAGTAGTTCAAGACCAGCCTGGACAATGTGATGAAACCCCATCTCTACAAAAAAACACAAAATATTAGCTGGGTATGGTAGCATATGGCCAGCAGGTTGAGGTGGGAGGATTGCTTGAGCCCAGGAGGTGGAGGCGAAGGTTGCAGTGAGCTGATTTCATGCCCCTGAATTCTAGCCTGGGTAGCAGAGTGAGACCCTGTCTCAAAACAAAACAAAACCAAAAAAATCCCCAACAAAACCAAAACACACAACCTTTCAAGATGAAATCCAGCCGGGCGCAGTGGCTCATGCCTGTAATCCCAGCACTTTGAGAGGCCGAGGCGGGTGGATCACGAGATCAAGAGATAGAGACCATCCTGGTCAACATGGTGAAACCCCGTCTCTACTAAAAATACAAAAAATGAGCTGGGCATGGTGGCGCGTGCCTGTAATCCCAGCTACTCAGGAGGCTGAGGCAGGAGAATTGCCTGAACCCAGGAGGCGGAGGTTGCAGTCAGCCGAGATCGCGTCATTGCACTCCAGCCTGGGTAACAAGAGCGAAACTCCGTCTCAAAAAAAAAAAAAAGATGAAATCCACAGAGGTGGATTCAACCAAACGAGGTGCCAGACTTAATAGGTGTAAAAATGACAAATCCCTTAATTTATTACATGCTTTCACTTGTGATTGTCACATAAAATCCTGTAAAATAGGCAGTTTTGGCTGACATTGACAAAGATGATCATGAAGAAATGCAAGGGACCCAGAAAATCCTTAACAGTCTTGATTTTAAAACTTACATGAAAGCTTTGGTAATCAAATTAGTGTGGTACTGGCATCAGGATAAACATACTGATCAACGGAATAGAATTCAGAGCCTAGAAATAAGCCTTTATGTTTATGATCAGCAAGTTTTTGTTTTTATTTTCACATAAAGTGCTAAAAAGACAATTTATTAGGAAAGATAAGGTGTTTTCAACAAATGGCGCTGGGGCAATTTGATGATATCCACATGACAAAAGATGAATTCGGACTTCTACCTTACACTGAACACAAATTAATTCAAAGTGGATTACAGATCTAAAGGTATTAGCTGTAAGGTAGGCAGGGCACAAGTATCAAATTTCCCTTTACAGTTGATGAGACTTAGTTTTAGACTAGGTTGTAAGCTTCCTGCTTCACTTAACTAGTGAGCAATAGAACTGAGATTGGAATACTGGTGTCCTAACTCATTTGCCCTGGGAGCCTGTGCATATGGGGCGCCGTTCTGGGCCAGTAGCCTGCGGCGGGTTGGCTGGTTGGCTGGTCGGCTGAGACCGCGCAGCCTCTCTGCGCTCAAGGCTGCGCGCATGCGCATGGGGCCCCAGCATGTGGCGCTTCCCTGAGGGTGTGCACCTGCAGTGGCGGCGGTGGCTGGGGCACGATGGGTGGGCTTGGGCACTTGCGCTGGGAATGGGGGCGCCCTGCCCTCTGAGGTCACCCCTAGGCCGCCGTCCGTGCCATTTTTCGGATTGCTGGCCTTCTAAAAGTTCCTGCAGGAAGCTGACCCGGGCCTCCGCCCTGACCAGTTTGCTGGAGGTGAGTCAGATTCCAGCCAGGATACCTAGCAGTAGCTTGGTGGCAGGCAACAGGAAAATGGTCAAAAGCCCTAAATGGCTGGAAGGCAAGTTCGGGGGACAGATCTCCTTGCGGGAGGGCACAGGAGGGCACAGGACTGCACGAGCGGTTGTGGAGGCCCCAGGCTGGTCTCGGCCTGGTAATAATTTCACACCGCCAGGGGGTTTACTAACTCAGTTATCATGGCGGCCGCATCGTCCCTCTGGGTCAACTGGTGTAGGTTTGACCCGATGCTACTGGTGTAGAGCTTGGCAAGTATATAGCAGGTAGTAAATGGCTGCCAGCAGACTTGGTAATTTTGAAAGTTGGCTTTGTGATGGGTTTGGGCTCCGGCATCTGCTGGTGGTGTGTGGTTTTAAGCTCAGTGCTTGCGGACCCCTTTGGGTTGGGGCGGGTTGTGAGATTGTGGCCCCAGAGCCAAGTGGGCGGTTAGGGGTTTCTGGAGACTGTGGAAGGAGAGGTAGCATAAAAGACAATGGGGTGTTCCCTTCGGCAGCACATATACTAAAATTTGAACAGTACAGAGGTTAGCATGACTCCTGCGCAAAGGCGGCACGAACATTTGTGAAGTGTTCCATCAACAGAAAGAAAGAAAAAGACAATGGGAATTGCAGAGGAACTAAAATTTCGAGACTGCATTTTTTTTTTTTTTTTTTTTTTTTTTGGTGAGACCAGAAGCTCATTAGAAGAGTTCCTCAATTGCTGCTTCTCCACCCGCTGAGATGGCACTTGACCCCGCATATAAATTTAACAACTTTCTGATTGGTTGCCATGAAATTTGAAAAACAGTAACTTAAGCAACGACTACAGGAAAGAATTGAGATCAAAGAGAAGTGTGTGCCATGGCTGTGGAGGGGTTTCAGTTATGACTCATGAAATGTCATGTAAACCATTTCAAGGAGTTAGAATTTTGTGTCAGAAACAAGAGGAAGACACTGCAAGTTTTTTTTGTTTTTGTTTTTTAATTTAAGTAGAGACGAGGTTTCACCATGTTGATCAGGCTGGTCTTGAACTCCTGACCTCGTGATCCACCCACCTCAGCCTCCCAAAGTGCTGGGATTACAGGCGTGAGCCACCGCGCGCAGCCGACACTGCAAGTTTTTATTTTATTTTATTTTATTTATTTATTTATTTATTTTTTTTTGAGACGGAGTTTCGCTCTTGTTACCCAGGCTGGAGTGCAATGGCACGATCTCGGCTCACCGCAACCTCCGCCTCCTGGGTTCAGGCAATTCTCCTGCCTCAGCCTCCTGAGTAGCTGGGATTACAGGCACATGCCACCATGCCCAGCTAATTTTTTGTATTTTTAGTAGAGACGGGGTTTCACCATGTTGACCAGAATGGTCTCGATCTCTCGACCTCGTGATCCACCCGCCTCGGCCTCCCAAAGTGCTGGGATTACAGGCTTGAGCCACCGCGCCCGGCTACACTGCAAGTTTTTAAAGCAGCATCTCAGACATGTCGAAAAAGATGTTTTGATCCCTAAAATAATGAAGGAAAAGGCCAGAGAGAGGTGTTCTGAACAAGTTCAAGATTTTACCAAATATTGCAATAATTCTGGAATCTTTTTTTTTTTCTTTTTTTGAGACGGAGTTTCGCTCTTGTTACCCAGGCTGGAGTGCAATGGTGCAATCTCGGCTCACCGCACCCTCTGCCTCCTGGGTTCAGGCAATTCTCCTGCCTCAGCCTCCTGAGTAGCTGGGATTACAGGCACGCGCCACCATGTCCAGCTAATTTTTTGTATTTTTAGTAGAGATGGGGTTTCACCATGATGACCAGGTTGGTCTCGATCTCTTGACCTCGTGATCCATCCGCCTCGGCCTCCCAAAGTGCTGGGATTACAGGCTTGAGCCACCGCGCCCGGCCTCTTTTTGGTTTTTTTTGAGATGGAGTTCCGCTCTTGTTACCCAGGCTGGAGTGCAATGGCGCGATCTCGGCTCACCGCAACCTCCGCCTCCTGGGTTCAGACAATTCTCCTGCCTCAGCCTCCTGAGCAGCTGGGATTACAGGCACGTGCCACCATGCCCAGCTAAATTTTTTGTATTTTTAGTAGAGACGGGGTTTCACCATGTTGACCAGGATGGTCTCGATCTCTTGACCTCGTGGTCCACCCGCCTCGGCCTCCCAAAGTGCTGGGATTACAGGCTTGAGCCACCACGCCCAGCCTAATTCTGGAATCTTGATGGAGGAAAATGCTGGAAAGAAAATTCTGCGTTGAAAGAATGTCTAACTGCTCACTGTAATGGTCCAGCCTTTTATGAAGAATGCAAAATGGAATACCTGAAGGAAGGAAGAATTCAGAAAAACTGGAATTTCTGCAAAGAGAAGGCCTCAGAAGGTTTCCCATAAGCCTGTAGGCAAATATTCAAATGACATTTAGGAACTCTGATATTCATGGAAGTTATTTATAGTATGTCTCCTTAAATAGTGAACTCAAGAATGTGTGTTTGCTTTATCTTAATTATGGAAATACTAATTTTTTTCTGAAATAAAGATCTTTTATTTATTTATTTATTTATTTATTTATTTTTTTGAGGAGGAGTTTCGCTCTTGTTACCCAGGCTGGAGTGCAATGGCACGATCTCGGCTCACTGCAACCTCCACCTCCTGGGTTCAGGCAATTCTCCTGCCTCAGCCTCCTGAGTAGCTGGGATTACAGGCACACACCACCATGCCCAGCTAATTTTTTGTATTTTTAGTAGAGATGGGGTTTCACCATGTTGACCAGGATGGTCTCGATCTCTCGACCTTGTGATCCACCTGCCTCGGCCTCCCAAAGTGCTGGGATTACAGGCTTGAGCCACCGCGCCCAGCCCAAAGATCTTTTATTTTTAAAAAAACTTTCATAATTAAGATAAAGCAAACACACATTCTTGAGTCAATCGAATCTCACAGTTAGGATTTGCTAGAGCAGGATTAACGTTTGAATTCTACATGTATACATTTCACTGTTCTTTGATCTTGGTTTCATCATCTCTAAAATTAGGATTAATTATGTAGTAGTTAGCAGTTGGTTTCCGCACCTTGTCGTAGGAAGGTGAGGAAACTCAGTTATCTTTGCCCTGGGAGCCTGTGCGTATGGGCACCGAGAGTGGGCAGCGGTCTGGGCCAGCAGCCTGTGGTGGGTTGGCTGGCTGGTCAGCTGAGACCGCAGCCTCTCTGTGCGCAGTGCTCCGCGCATGCGCTTGGGGCCCCAGCATGTGGTGCCTCCCTGAGGTGTGCCCCTGCAGCGGTGGCGGTTTCTGGTTTCTCAATCCAGAAAGTCTGTGTGTCAGTTTCGTGGAGCCTCTTCAGGTCTGTGGTATGCTTTCCAGTTGGCATGGGAGTACTTTGAGATCAATGGCTTGCTCTTCCTTTTTAGGCTGGCAGAATCCTATACTCTCTATTGTACTGGAAGCGCATTTCTCTGATGGTTCCAGTAGAAGGCCTTTGTGAACAATAAATCCCAACTAAGTGTTAGGGATCACTGTATTTACGTGCCTTTCCTTTGAAGTCTTTGATGCTATTTAGACTGGAAAGTTCTGAAAGATGAAGGTGGGGGTGGTGGGGCAGGTAGCTATCTCATTTTCTTTCTTTCTTTTCTTTTCTTTTTTTTTCTTTTTTTTTTGAGACAGAGTCTTTCTCTGTCACCAGGCTGGAGTGCAGTGGACTGTGATCAGCTCACTGCAACCTCTGCCTCCAAGGTTCAAGCGATTCTCCTGCCTCAGTCTCCCAGGTGACTACAGGCGTGTGCCACCTTGCCCGGCTAGTTTTTGTATTTTTGGTAGAGATAGGGTTTCACCATGTTGGCCAGGATGGTCTGGATCTCTTGACCTCGTGATCCGTCCGCCTCGGCCTTACAAAGTGCTGGGATTACTGGCGTGAGCCACCACACCCAGCTTCTCCTTTTCTTTAGTGTGTTCCAAGCTGTAACGTATTAGAGTGCTTTGGCCAAGAGAGCATATGGTTTGATTGGCATGGATTGGAATGACCTGTAGGCTCTTACTCTGTCCCTAGAGCCATCATGAAGCTGAACGGCCACCAGTTGGAGAACCATGCCCTGAAGGTCTCCTACATCCCTGATGAGCAGATAGCACAGGGACCTGAGAATGGGCGCCGCGGAGGCTTTGGCTCCCGGGGTCAGCCCCGCCAGGGCTCACCTGTGGCAGCGGGGGCTCCAGCCAAGCAGCAGCAAGTGGACATCCCCCTTCGACTCCTGGTGCCCACCCAGTATGTGGGTGCCATCATTGGCAAGGAGGGGGCCACCATCCGCAACATCACAAAACAGACCCAGTCCAAGTGAGTCTTGGCTCCTAGGGAATGGAGGCTGGGTGCTAGAAAACAATGGTCGGTACTTAAAGAGGCCTCCTGGAAGCATGCTGGGGACATCAACATTTACCTTTTAGGAAATGTCGCCTGGAGCATTCAAAGGGTCACTGCTTCCAATCCCAGCCTTGTGGGAAAGGGAGGTCAGATGGGCACGGAGAGTGGGTCTGGGGTGCTGGGTCATACACTCTTATTAGTAAGAGAGGTTCTATAATTTCTCATGTTAAGTTTCATAGAAAGTTTCCAAGCAGACCTCATTTTGATATGTCAGCCACTCCTCAGTGCTGTGTGATTTAATGTGGTAAGACGGCTGGCCAACCTGTCCAAAGCCAAGACCCTCATAATTGTGTCCCATCTCCCATTCTGCCACAGCCACTTTCTTTCTCTGATCTTTATAGCTGATCAGTGTACTCATCGGCAAAGAAAGGTCACATTATGTCCTTATTATAGTAAACTTGTTATTTACTTTGAGTTTGAGGCACTGTCTTCTCTTTATATTTGTTTCAAGCAGAAATGCAGCTTCGGAGCTGTGGGCTGGTAATTCCCACCCTTGCATTTGTGTCATTGGCTGTGTTCTTCTCCATAACCACCTTTTTTTTTTTTAAATTATTTTTGTTTTTATTTTTATTTATTTATTTATTTATTTTTTTGAGACAGAATTTCACTCTTGTTACCCAGGCTGGAGTGCAATGGCGCGATCTCGGCTCACCGCAACCTCCGCCTCCTGGGTTCAGGCAATTCTCCTGCCTCAGCCTCCTGAGTAGCTGGGATTACAGGCACGCGCCACCATGCCCAGCTAATTTTTTTTGTATTTTTAGTAGAGACAGGGTTTCACCATGTTGACCAGGATGGTCTCGATCCCTTGACCTCGTGATCCACCCGCCTCGGCCTCCCAAAGTGCTGGGATTACAGGCTTGAGCCACCGCGCCCGGCCTTATTTATTTATTTTTTTGAGACAGAGTCTCACTCCGTTGCCCAAGCTGGAGTGCAATGGCGTGATCTCAGCTCACTGCAACCCCCACCTCCCAGGTTCAAGCAATTCTTGTGCCTCAGCCTCCTGAGTAGCTGGGATTACAGGTGTGTACCATCACGCCCAGCTAATTTTTTTCTATTTTTAGTAGAGACGGGATTTTCCCTTGCTAGCCAGGCTGGTTTCAAACTCCTGGCCTCAAGTGATCTACCTGCCTCGGCCTCCAGATGTGCTGGGGTTATAGCTGTGAGCCACTGTGCCTAGCTACCAACCACATCTGGATCGAGACATTGCTGGTCTAAGACAGAA